ACACTGGAAATTATCAAACAAGCAGATACGTAACAATATTTAAATATTTATTTTTCGCGTGTGAACAAATCGCGATGGAAGATTCATATATATTATATTCATTTATTACTAGAGATGTTGTTGCCAATAAAATTAGTCCTATACATTTTTCTAAACTATTTATAAACCAAATTCCATGGCTTTGTTTGTTACAGCGTCCCTAATAGCGTATGAGTCACAGAAAACAGTTTATACGAAAGTACCACAAGCATTGTAGTTAATGCCACAACTTACTTCTGGGGCTACATTTGGTGATATAACAGGAAAAAATATAAAATTATTCACTATGTGGACCTCGCTGGAAGTGAACGATATAAAACAAGTCAGTATTTAAGGGTTAGGGCATTACAGGCGAAATAATCAAGGCTGAGCCACCAAAGTTCAAAGTAATGATCACGCAGTCTAAAGTAATTATTCTAGCACGTACATTGCTGAACAAGTTCTTAGGATGGAAAAATTACCATAGGTTTTTGACCTAATGAGGGGTAATTGCAAAATATTGTGGTAAATTTCCATAGCACTGAGTGAAATAGTTCTTTTGATGCAAATGAGGCAGTGCATGAGATTAAAATAAGGGGAAGAGACTGAATATGTAGAATGTAGATTAAAATCATTAAAACAACGAGTGTTTTAGAGCTAAAAAGATAGTACAAGTAGATTAACATAATTAAAAGAACGAATCATGTAGAGCGAAAGCAACAATAAGTGTAGATTAGTATCATTGAACGAATGAATGATTTGGTACGCAAGAAACAGACAGTGCACATAGATTAAATCATTAAAATAACAGAGATTTAGAGCTAAAGGTAACAGTGCAAGTACTGAAACATAATTAAAATAAAAATTACTTGGAGAATGCTGATTTAAGCATTCAAAAGATCGTGGTTAGCATTTAGGTCAGGCTCCATTTATATAGATTACTTCAACTGATTCTACTGATTAAAGTACTTTGAAATTCAGCCGAAGTGAAGACGTTTTAATGTTTACATGTGCAAACTTCCCCTTTTGACTTAGGCATTCAAAAGATCGTGGTTAGCATTTGGGTCAGGCTCCATTTATATAGATTACTTCAACTGATTATTTGGTCAAACTACTTTGAAATTCAGCCAAGTGAAGACGTTTTAATGTTTACATGTGCAAACTTCTCCTTTTCTAATTCCAGTCGTTTGGAATAACTGCTCGTTTTTGTTACGCACAAAGCTACAATGAGCTATTTGTATTGTGCTATGCCCGCCGCGGGTATCGAAACCCCATTTTTAGCATGATAAACTCTCGAACTTACTGCTGAGTCATCGGAAGGCAATTTGGGAGACAAATATCGAAACATTGAAAGTTACATATCCTTATAAAAACCACAGGTGTAAGTGTGGTATTCACAGATAAAACGGACTTGACGCGGCCTAGTGGTTAACGTGCTCGGGACGTAAATATAAGGATTCGTGGTTCGCGTCCCATTTCCACAAAAACGCGATCCATACGGTGAGTGATGGTCAAATCTCACTATTCGTTCGGTGAAGAGTAGCTCAAGAGTTGGACATGAGTGCTGTTGACTAGCTCAGAATTAGAGATGACCATATGACTTGTGTAGCTCTACTTATAGCAATAATAAAAGGACAAAAACAAAGAGCAAAACCGGACACGTGAGCAAAGGAAATACTCAAATATCAATATGAGACAAATAATAATAGAAATAGAAATATATATCTTGTACATACTTGTACTATCCAGGCATGTTGTGGCTTTTACTGTAACATCAACTGCTTTTGAACTCTAAAGAGTAGTTTATCTGGATACTGGAACTAAGAGATAGGAAAGGGGTTATTCACCACGAAGGATTATGTGTATACCATAAAGTCTTAGTATTGTATCCCATAATCCTAGTGTATGTACATAGTGAGTATTTAATTTTAGGTCAACTCCCAGCTCGTTCTAACATGTACACATATGTGTACCACTTTGCCAGTGCCTAAGCAAGTATACGCTCTATGGAATGACTACTCTGATATGTTTACTCAAGTTTCCGACTTCTTACTTCCTGTTTACACCGGTTTTAATGAACATCCGCACGAAAACTGAAAACATATACAAATTATTGAATACACCTGAAAACATATATTATTTTCCCTGCCATATTTAAACTTGCTTCAATTGTTATCGCATTTTTTTTCAACTATTATGTAGATTAATAAATTCATTTTTACGGATGTATTATTTAGCGTATAGAAGGTCCCGTTTGTTTATTCAGTGACTATTTAAACCTTTTTTTTTTTTCAGGTACTTTACGAGGATGAGGTTCTTCCTGGTTGGGAAGGAAAGATTATTGCTTGGGTAGAGACAGACAATGGGTAGAAAAGATAAGAAAGACCAAGATTCGTTTCATATGTCATCGTTGAAAGATCTGACACTTAATTCGCTGAGTAAAGTAAAAAGCCCGCGCTCAAGTTGCGTTTGCAACAGACATACTTAACACTAGTTGTGATGGAACATAGCTCTGAGTAGCAGAGGTCAGGATGGCAGTGCGTGGAACACTAAAGAAATTAGCTTTTTCGGAGCAAGACTCGGAAACTTACAAAAAATACTGTTTTTTATGATGCGCTAATAACACGTTGAATAGTATTTTCTTACCGATAATGTGTTTATTTCACATCAGTATAAAAGTTTGTTATTGAATTTCTATTTGCTTACAATCCATGTTTTTTAATATATATGAACAGTCATACGAAATGCTTTTTATATATCAAATTTAAGTTAAGACAGTTGAATATTATATCAGCCTTCTCTAAAACAGCTAAGTCAAGTATTCCATCTGGTGTTATAGAACTTATTTATAGGCTTATTTAAATGTATCATAATATGTATAATTATATTGTAAAACAAAAAAAATCGTTTTACAGTTTAGACTGCGTAAATTATTACTTTTGTTTTTTACCTTTATAATGGTTTTGTGTTGTTTGAATCAGTACTGTTATGTTTTCTCAGAGTCGTATAATGCATGATATACCAATGTCTTTATGTGGTTTAGTGTTAAGATAAACAGACCACAGACCATTTCAAGGTAACGTTTGGCTAATAAGTACGAAGGATTTGAGAATAATTATAAACTCTTCCTAATCCCAACAACATATACATGTATATTCATGGATGAGGATTGTAAGAACAAGATTTATTTCCGTAATAAAAACAATTATTTACCAAAATCTTACTAGTTTTGTTCTGGAATGCTTAGTTACGTATTCAACGTGTCAAGATTTCACAACACTTTCCAGATGTTTCCACAGTGTTCTACCATTGTTTTCTATGCTTTAAAACAGGCAGGAAAGAGCACAGAAAAAATAAACCGACTTTTGGCCAGAAAATGGGAAATGTATGTTAAAGGAAGTGCAAAGAATGTTGAAAACCTTTCCAGTTTTGTCTTCACAAAATGGACGCTTTAATTTAGAGCTATCGTTCTTGCCTATTTCTAGTAAATCCGAAAATTTTCCGGATGTTGCATACTCTATAATTATCACCAATCTGGACCTCATTAAGACGCAAACTTAACGTTAAATACAAACATTCCTGAATACATATAAAAGATATATATAAGCGGAACGTAGCTATATACGTTTGAAAATTACGTTCAATTATTTTTATCATGTAATGAGACATAATGAGCTAATAAGAGTTATTGTAACAAGGCTTGTGATCTGTTTCTATTCATAGCATACCTGATAACAAACACTGTTTGAACCTTGATAACTGATTTCAGGTGACAGTTCTAGCTAGAAATAGGGAACTGTGTTTACCACGACCATGTTATATAGTGTTGTTAAATCTGGAGACTACGTGTACCGTGACCACGTATAGAGTGTTGTTAAATCTGGAGACTACGTGTACCGTGACCACGTATACAGTGTTGTTAAATATGGAGACTACGTGTACCGTGACCACGTATACAGTGTTGTTAAATCTGGAGACTACGTGTACCATGACCATGTTATACAGTGATATTAAATCTGGAGACTGCCCGTACTACGATATTGTTACACAATATTATACAAACCTTAGAGACTACCATACGGCCTTGTTAGAAAGTATTATATCAACCCAGAAACTACTGTTACCATGACCCTTTTAGGCAGTATTACATGAATCTGGATATTTCAAGCATCAGGATCTTGTGAGGCAATGTTATAAATTTCTGGACATGCATCGCTAAAATCCGAGGTTCGTTTCCTCGTGTAGCTTTATGCTAAACCAAACCCCCTGTCGTGAAGTTCTACAAGTAACAATACATCATCTCATTTAAACATCATCAACGTATCTGAGCCAGAAAACCCGTCGGTGTAGATAGTGGCCAATGTTTCCCATGTCTAGTCTGTGTTTGATTCTTCGTGTTGGAAGTAGTTGTGGAAAGCTGAAGGAGATTTATGTTTGTCGATTATTTTGTTTATAGTATTGTGAAACATCATCAACGTATCTGAGCCAGAAAACCCGTCGGTGTAGATAGTGGCCAATGTTTCCCATGTCTAGTCTGTGTTTGATTCTTCGTGTTGGAAGTAGTTGTGGAAAGCTGAAGGAGATTTATGTTTGTCGATTATTTTGTTTATAGTATTGTGGATCCCAGTCAGGAACAAACACTATTTATGCAACAACTTACCTAAATATATGAAATTTACTGTAGAACGTGAAAATAATTACTCAATTAACTTTTTAAATTGTAACATCCTCCAATAGTGTTAGAAGAATGGTTCACAGAAAAGACACACAGTGACAGTTACATTAACGGGCTTTCCACTCGTACAGCAGGCAAGAAATTAGGCTTAATACACTTAGCTTACACTATATGCACCAGTGAAAACAATGATGATGAAATTACACACTTAACTTAATGTTTTAATGAAACAAACAAACTTCCAATTACGGTAGTTTACCAAATAACCAACCAGTTTCCTAAATACATCAATCACAATCTGGAACAACCTATCACACAAAATAACATTCTATTTACTTGTAACCTCTTAAAGAAATATGGAAAACACAACATAAATATTAATACAAACTTCATTCTCACCTCGGGAATGTAAATAAACGAACGTTAAGAACGATATATAAGGAACGCACCCGATCTGGAATCATTTAGAAAAATCAATGAAACAAATGTTTTAACTTTTATCTAGGTGAAACAGGGCTTAATTTAAACATATGAATAAAAAAAAAACCTAACGTATACAGCCATATGCAAACCAATAACGTACATTTTCTGAACATACAGCTACCATCTTGAAACATAACCAAAAGGAAAATTAATGAAGCCTTACTAATCAAACCACGTGCACCTACAATTAGTAAACATCCAGGTACATCTCATTCTTTAAACAAATTCATGGAATAACTTCTAGCATAAGAACTGCTAAAGATTTTACAACAATAATTACAGTAAATAATTAGTCTTAAAATGAAAAACGGGCAAACTATAAAAATCATATTTGACGTACATGTCACGTGCTTTCACTCTCTTTTCATTATGATATTTCAAATGTATTACTTGACAAATATCGCACTAACGATTGCAACGTTGTACCTAAACTTAAATAATAGATATATATATTTCCTACAACCCATTGTAAGCTGTCGTCACGAATGATTAATTTAAATCCAGTGGAATAAATCAAATTTGATATATTAGCGTGATTCACACAAACATATACACGTCTTACTGACTATTAATACACTTTAAATACAATAGCTAGAAGTATATGATCATATCTAGACATCTTGAAACACCTTTACAAGGAACTGACATTTATACCGAATGCTGCTATAAATATACACCAAAGTATGCTTTAAAAATAAATTAACTTTTTTTTTTATTTATAGGAAATCAACTTTTAAGCCTGAATCACGCGGAGCAAGACTTCACGTTATGAAGATATAAAATACGTAATAATGTTTTTCACAGGGTGCAAGCAGATATTTTTGTGAATCTTAAATAGGGTGCTGTAAGTGGAATAGCTGGTGTTAAACAATGATGTATAAATTACATCTCTCTGTATTTTCAAACTGCCCCCGAGATTGGTTTTATTGAATCAGAATTTCGGTTCAAAAAACTTTTGTTTTAACCAAATGAGTTCTTGTCTCGAATATTGTCTAACAAGGTCGTGATGCAGGTTTCTGTAATGATGCTTAACAAGGTCACTGTCTAACAAGGTCGTGATGCCTGCAATCTGCAGGTTTCTGTAATGATGCTTAACAAGGTCATAGTGGCCGTCTCCATATTTCTATAATATTGTTATGATGCCAATATTTATTCTCGGTTATATTGTATAACCAGGTCGTGATGCCTGCAATCTGCAGGTTTCTGTAATGATGCTTAACAAGGTCACTGTCTAACAAGGTCGTGATGCAGGTTTCTGTAATGATGCTTAACAAGGTCACTGTCTAACAAGGTCGTGATGCCTGCAATCTGCAGGTTTCTGTAATGATGGTTAACAAGGTCATAGTGGCCGTCTCCATATTTCTATAATATTGTTATGATGCCAGTATTTATTCTCGGTTATATTGTATAACCAGGTCGTGATGCCTGCAATCTGCAGGTTTCTGTAATGATGCTTAACAAGGTCACTGTCTAACAAGGTCGTGATGCCTGCAATCTACAGGTTTCTGTAATGATGCTTAACAAGGTCACTGTCTAACAAGGTCGTGATGCCTGCAATCTACAGGTTTCTGTAATGATGCTTAACAAGGTGATAGTGGCCGTCTCCATATTTCTATAATATTGTTATGATGCCAGTATTTAATCTCGGTTATATTGTATAACCAGGTTGTGGTGCCATTCTCCAGAAACTTATAACATTGCCTAACAAGATCCTGATACTTGAAATATCTAGATTCATATAATACTGCCTAATAGGGTCATGGTAACAGTAGTTTCTGGGTTGATATAATATTTTCTAACAAGGTCGTATGGTAGTCTCTAGGTCTATATAATATTGTGTAACAATATCGTAGTACGGGCAGTTTCCAGACTTATATTGTCCAACAAGCTCGTGACCACGTTAGACAGTGTTGTTAAATCTGAGACTTCGTGTACCATGACCACGTTAGACAGTGTTGTTAAATCTGGAGACTTCGTGTACCATGACCACGTTAGACAGTGTTGTTAAATCTGGAGACTTCGTGTACCATGGTACACGAAGTCTCCAGATTTAACAACACTGTCTAACGTGGTCATGGTACACGAAGTCTCCAGATTTAACAACACTGTCTAACATTGTTATCCAGATAAAGGTTGTTGTAGTAATATTTATTCTAAACTAGAGTCTGTTTAACAGACACTACAATATCAATATCTACGTATGGTAATATGAAATCCTGATAAAAGTCACTATAAATCTGCTTATCATAATGCAAACCAAGGAAAAAGGACACTTTAATATGTGCTTATTCTTATGTAGATTCATGATAGAGGTCAATATTACATGTGTTTATCATACCGTAAAAGAATGATAATGGTGACTATAATAGTTGCATATTCTTATGTTGGATACAATTCTCTATAATAACTTATCAATATAATGTAGAATAAACACTTAAATCACTTTGTTATACAGCCATTGTTTTGGAGAATAAGATAAAGATCAGTGTAATAGTTGATCATTCTATCCATAGGTGTGCAAGTAAATATACACATAACTATCTAGCGTTCAAGTAAAAGCTTCTGTAATGGCAAATTTTGTTAAGATAAGATGGAGGTAGAAGTCTCTAAAATATCTGAGCGGCAACTTCCATACCCAGCTCTGCCTTTGGTGAAAACCCGACAGACCCAGTGAAAGTATACAAGTAAAAGTGAACTCTTGTAATGTACTTTAAATATCTTACCTTTAACATTTTGAAGGTTATTTTAAATAGACTGTACTTATCAGTCCTTTTTCTCTTGAAAACACGCACAAATATGTTTAAAAATGGACAAAAAGGATTTTCAGTAGCGTTCATTTGTTACAAGGCAGAGGAAGTGGAGCGGATGTTAGAAGGTGTAGCAGTCGAGCCGAGAAACTTGGGAGAAATGTCAAGAAAGTTCCATCACTTCTTGTTCAAAGCAGACCATTTCACAGCAGAGATGTGGTCGAGATTTTTACTCTCTTAATTTGGTACATTTAATGCATTGGATTTAATAATAATCTTGAATATTGCTTCTACGAAAAACTGTATTCTACATTAAGAAGTAAGAAATATCCTTTAAAATATTTTAATTAAGAAATACTTCTCTAATTCAAGCTTAAGCACTTGTTCTAACCCTAGTATAAACTGGAAGTTGAATGTGTGAATCAGGAAACGTAACCAACAGCTGGATGTTTTATGACTGTATATGTTGGTTATTATGGCAAACAAGTCAAAATGCTGAAAATTTTATTACAATTTTGGACTTGAAGAATTTTAGTGTGGTGTGAGTTTAGATCAAACTAATCTATTTACAATAGTTACTGCTGTAATGATATAGGGATTATTCTATAAATTATTTTTATTTTTCAATATATGTCAAAGTTTAATATGGATTTGTTTTGCTTTTGGACTACTTACTTAGTTCGCCAAGTTTGGTTGGCATCGGTCAATTCGTTTAGGATGAGATGCGTCCATAGACAGACAGAAAGTTTTCCTTGATATTGTATAGTTACTGCACTGATATGGCTTAATATGTATGGTGCATATTTGAAGAACGCCTATATCCGAATTTTTATACTCAGCTCTGCGTTGCTTCGCTCGCCAGAACTGGATAAAATACCTGATAAGTCTTATGCAAAGATGAGATAAAGGTTACTATAGCATAGTTATCTGACCACTTTAACGTAGAATTAAAACATAGATCAATATAATATGATTATCAGACCACTCACACGCACGTGGGGGTTGAGGGGCTCGACCGAACCCTCGTTTTTGTGACGTAAAGGAATTATATTCATATAATTATAACGCAGCTGCTTATGGTACTTAACGTTTTCTACATTGTCTACATTATTCCGATAAAGCATTTTTGACTTGAAATAGTTGCATGCAATAGCTTCTGTTGACACTTTGTAATTGGAAATTCGAAGCTGTAATTCTACTGTCAGGTTTTGTAGGCCAGGTTCCTTACAGTAGGTGTCTGGAACTTGTTGGCGATAAATTTTAACAATAAACAAACAGCAATACAGTCCATCTGTTTTAAAATAATACATTAAAACAAAGCCCAACGTATATACAAATGTTCGTTATACTTTTGGTTATCAAAATTGTAGCTACAAAATTAACTACAAATATGCGTGTCCAGCTGCAAAACGATCGATCAGCTGAGATATTGTCACATCAATTGCTGGAAATTGGGAACGGAAAAGTGCCGGTTGATCTGACCTCAGGACGAATTTCATTGCCTCATGACTTCTGCAATTTAGTGACGTCAAAAGAAAAATTGGTTGAAAAAGTATTTCCCAATATTCAAACCAATTATAAGAATCACGATTGGCTGAGTGAACGAGCTATT